AGGTTTCCACTGCCACTTCCACAAATTCCAGCAATGAAAACGAGAAGGGAATGTTCATAGAATAGGGAAACACAACTTACAACTTGCATCATCTCAGTAGACTAGGAGAACAGCTTCCTTCCCAAACGGTGGTAAACCCAAGGGAAAATGCAAGTGCGATCACTTTGAGGAGTGGTAAAGAGCTAAACACAGCAGCCCCTAAAAAAGGCAGCAGGAGTTCTAAGGAAGAAGCTGAAAAGGAGGTAGAAATTCACCGAAATAGGCCTTTCGAATAGGCTGAAGTACGGCAGCCCCAAACCTTTACTGTTCAGCCTCCTTTTCCCGAGAGATTGGCTAAAACAAGGAAGGAAAGTGAAGAGAAAGACATTTTGGAGACCTTTCGCAAGGTGGAGGTGAATATTCCATTGTTGGATGCTATCCAAATACCCAAAGTTTCTCAAGGAACTTTGTACCAACAAAAGGAAGGTAGATAGTGTTGAGAAGGTGGAGATGGGTGAAGTTTGCTCCGCCATGATTCAAAGAAAGAGGCTCCCACCAAAGTGTAAAGATCGAGGTATGTTTGCTATTCCTTATAAAATAGGCAATGTAGGGATTAAGAGATCTATGTGTGATTTAGGAGCTTCTATAAATGTCATACCTTTATCTGTTTACTCATCTTTCAAGGGTTGTCCCTTGAAAGAAACGCGTATTATTATTCAATTGGCAGACAGGTCTATAGTGTATCCCGTGGGATTGCTAGAAGATGTTTTGGTTCAGGTTGGTGATTTAATTTTTCCAGCAGCAGAATTTTTATGTACTTTATGGAGGATGATAATCCTCGACTGTAGCTGAATTTATTGCTTGGGAGACCTTTCTCGCCGCAGGACAAATTGAATGCGTATTGAACGGTTTCACTATTATCTATGGAGTTCGATGAGAAAGCGAATTTTAATGTTATGAAGGCTATGAAGTACACCTAAGTGAGTGTCCCTATATTATTGTTCTATTGATCGTAATTGAATCCTTTAGCACAAATAATGTTATGAATTAATGCTGTTGATGACTGATTAGTGCTTTTGGCAGGAATAACATTTATATGATGGGACAGCATCCTTATAAGAGATTGAGGAATAAGCTTTCTTGTCTAAGTGAAGTGACGTAACGGAAACTGTGTGCGAGATGGAGACGAGAGAGGTCGAGGCCCTAATTGAGCGGCCGTAGTCATTTATTGTTTGCTTCTCACCATGCGAAGCTTTTCCATCCTGTTTTTATGCAGGCCCAAGTTGAGTGAAGAACGCTACGCGACCCACTTTAAAATATGCATTTATTGGGATGGAGACAACATTGCATGTTATCATCCAGCAACTTAGTGAGGTTGAAGAGAGATGAAGAGAGCTTGGTTCAAGTTCTTAGGGAGTATAAAGAGGCCATAGGATGGACAATAGCAGATATTAAAGGGTTGAGTCCATCAACTTGTATGCACAAGATTCTTCTAGAAGAAGGCAGCAAACCCACAAAAGAAGCTCAAAGGAGGTTGAATCCACCTATGATGGAGGTGGTGAAGAAGGAAATACTGAAGTTGTTAGATGCTGGTATGATTTACCCGATTTCTGACAGTAAATGGGTAAGCCCTGTACAGGTAGTGCCTAAGAAGACAGGAATTACTGTAGTGGAGAATGCTGAAGGAGAGTTGCTTCCTACAAGAGTTCAAAATGGGTGGAGGATGTGCATAGATTATAGGAAGTTAAATGCAGCCACAAGAAAAGATCACTTCCCACTTCCATTTATTGACCAAATACCAAATGTTGGAAAGCTTAGCTGGTCGTCCCTCCCATTAATCGTTGCTTGATGGTTTATGCAGGGATTTCTCAATAACACATGGCACTGTTCAGAAGACAAGAGAAGACGACTTTCACTTTGCCCTTTGGTACATGTGCTTACGAACGGATGATCGTCGTTCACTCTGGTGAATCGCAACAGCCCATCATCAAAGGTGTATCGGTTTAGTGATATTCTTATCCAGATTTTGTAGAGGAGATTATTGGAGGTATCCTTTGGACTAGATGAAGTTTTACAGTCTTCTGCGTAATAGATATTGAAGAGATGACTTTAACAACTAAAAAGTCTTCAAGAGGTGTATGAATCATAGACTAGTTGCTAATTATGTTAAAATGCCATTTATGGTACACCAGGTTTGATTCCAGGACCACAATCTGTATTCATCCACAAGAGGCATGAAGTTGATTCAAGCATAAAATGATGTAATAAATCCTTACCTTACGTCCCTGGACAGTGTGCGGGAGATTCGTTCTTTCTTGGCCATGCAGGGTTTCTACAGGACGCTTTATAAGGCATTTCAAAAGATAGCTCAACCGCTGCAAGCTTTGCAAAAAGATGTGTCTTTTGTGTTCGAATGAGGATGGTAGAAAAGCATTTGATATGTTGAAAGAGAAGCTCATTTCTGCTCCAATAGTCCACCCAATCCGAACTGGAACTATACTTTCGAGATCTGTGAGCCCATGCGCGAACTATGCTGTAGGGCTGCTTCTTGACAGCTATTGAGAAGAATCCATCAATGTCATATATTCTATGCTTCAAGAACAACTCGCAACAATGCCCAGACATGCACATACTCTACACACAGATAACGAGGGCTTGCGATAGTGTTTGCTTTGGAATAGGGTTCAGGTGTAATCATGTTAGAGAATTTAGGCTGAATAGTTTTTCTCTGACAATATGCGCAGTTGGAGGTATTCTTGTTAAAACGACAGGTTTTCCCAACCCCCGTTTGATTCGTTGATTCTTTGACATCACAGAGTTTGAAATATAAGAGATTAAGGGAAAGACTAAAAAGGGTCCCGCGAATCTTGGTTGCACTACGGATCACCTTTAGCGTTGATTTAACTGAAAAAGTCGTACAATTAGATCGACTGATCTTACCTGGGATAGCAAAATTATCTCTCATAATTATATGTTACTTCTATGTATTGATAATTATAGTGTTATTCAGTCTGCAGGTACTTTATTCAGTTATAAACTTAACTAGAGCTAGACAAAAGATAAAAACTCAGAAGGAGATGATGCTCATACTATCTATTTGGATGACCATACTTGTGGAAGTTTTTGTTCTGACCAGGTGATTACGAAATGTGTTTACCCCTGGATTGGGAAAGTGGGCCATCCTTTCTGAAATTCTAGCCATTCATCAGGCTTGTGCGCAGCCAATTTTTTTGAGATCCTACAACGATACAGAAACTCGCAAGAATCTGGAGTCCTCGGACATAAAATATACCGTGCATCATCGATTTTATAAGACTCGTACTATTATTGGCAAATCCGTGACGAAAATATGCAGAAGACAGGTTAATTTGCCAGTCGTAGAGATCAATGCCACTACCTCTATTCTACACTTATGCGAGTCTTTTTAGTGTGGGGTATGAGATTTTCATAAGGCCATTTCTCAGTCCATCATTCGGACCTAGCACACCATATACTGGTTTGGCAGTGGATTTACGTGTCCAAATGGGTTGAAGCTAAGGCAACTCGACTGATGATGCGACGACATAGTGAATTTTGTCAAGAGCCCAATTAGTTTTCTTCTCGGTTTCGGAATTCAGACGCATTATGAGCGATCGAGGAACTCATTTCTTGTAACAAGAATTATGGGAGAATCTGTTCAAGAGTACGCGTATTATCGCATCGTCCGTCTCTAACCTACCCCACCCCGCAGACAAGTGGACAAGCAAGAAAGTTTTATGAATAGGAAGTGAGTCTATACTGGAAAAAACTGTGAGTCCCTAAATATTAAAGATTGGAGTGTCAGGCCTGGAGCGACGCTTTTATGGGCTTATTAGACAAGCGCTATATAGACACTCGCATAGGAATGTCACTTATGCTATAGTTTAATGGCAAACCATGTCAGTTTGCCTGTCGATGTGGAGCACCGCGGCATTTTGGGCTATTTCAGCGCTGCATATAACTGCAGTAATGGAAGTCTGGTGATACCACGAAAATTACAAATTGCAAGAGCTTGAGGAAAATTCGCATGAGCTTTATGAAGCTCCAGAATATACAAAGAGAAGACCTAAAGGCTTTCATGAATGGCATGATAATCCAGAAGAGCTTTGTAGTATTGGTCAAAAAGTTCTATTATTTCATTCCTAAACTACAAATTATTTCCTGTAAGTTAAGGTCAGATGGCTGGTCCATTTGGTTGTTACTGAATGTTCTTTGCTCATGGTGCATGTGGCAATTCAAAGTCTAGAGACCAATAAAATTTTAAAAGTGAAGCGTGGCATCGATTGATAGCCATTTTATGAAGGTTTTTGGAGCTGGACCCTCCACATCAGAGAAATTTCGAGGCTCGAAGAGCAGTGGGAATATAGATTCGATAGCTCCACACACGTCTAGCCGGAGACGTTAAAAATCAAAGCGCTTAACGGGAGGCCTTCGCACCTCAGCATTTAGTTTCTGTTCATTTTATTTATATTTTTTCTTTTCTCTGAACTTTTTTCATTATTATTTTTTTTTCTTTATTTTATTTTTTCTTATTTGAAAAAAAAACAATAAAAAATTGCTGAACATGTCGGTCGCCCATTACCTGGGGACCACCTGTGTTTTTTCTGGGTTTAATCTTCTATAAGATTTTAAATGGCAATGGTATAAGTTGTTTTATTTCTATTATGGCTCGTGTTCTGTTCGGGGTTGAGAAAGAGGCGTTTATTCGTTTAAGATAGCAAAGAGCGGTATAGTTCTGACTTAGAGTTTTTTTTTCTTTCTTTAGACTTAGAGTTTTTTTTTTCTTTTTCTTTTATTCAGCTACTTTGTTATTATACTGGGTAAAAATAATAATAATAATAATAATAATAGCTGGTTATATTTGTGCGGCAACAGTAAAGAAAACAAAAAAGAAAAAAAAAGAGAGAATAAGAGAACCCAAACAGGGGCAGCAGGCACAATAGGGGCAGGAGGCGCTCTTTCGATGAAACCTGCGTTGGCTGAGATTCTTGAACGACGGCAGGAGTTCTGAAGATCGACGACAAGAATTTTGTCACTCCGATCGACAACCTAAAACCCAAACAGACTTTTGTTTCGTCCTTAGCCCAATCCTACGTCACTTTACAGCGCGACGCAAAATCCAACAGCAGCGTCTTCCTTCCTCATCTGATTCCTTTCCGTGCCAACTTCAGCAACAGGTATTAATTTACTTCCTATTAGAATAGAAATCGTGATTTAAGATAGTGTCTGTGCTCCAATTTACTGCATTGTCATCGATTTCAATTGGGTTTTTTTTTTAGTTAATCAATTGTTGCGGAATTTGAATTAGGGAAGAATTTAGGTATATTATAGATTGTTGGCTGAAGCTATTTGAGCACATTATGATTTATGGGTTTTGTTGTTTCGCAAGTTTTTATTAGGTTTTATTGCTTAACTTTGCAATACTTGCTGAAGGGGAAGTTTTTATAATTTTCTTGCTTGTTGATAATTCGAATTTTGTTTAAATTGGAGTTGGAATTGATTGGAATTGATAACTGAGTGGAGTTCGATTGCTGAATATTATGAGTTGGGTTTAATTCTAGGATTTTATTGACTACATTCAGTGTTCAATGCGATTTGGGATCAATTTATTGGGTTTAAAATTAGTATTTTGAATATGAGCTCTTTTAACTTAGAATCTGTTAATCATTGTTTGAACTAATTTTGCTTGCATGTTTTGCTATGTTGTTTTAATGCCATGTTCAGTATTGAGAGTAATAGGTACAACATCAAACCCAATTGATTGAATTGCAGAAGTTGGTGGGATTGGAAATTTGCCATGTTCAGTATTGGAAATTTTATTGATAGTTGAGCAGAATTGTTTATTAAGTTGAACTGATTTTGCTTTGCTGGCTCTTTTGCTTGGTTAACATCTTTGAGGTGATAGTAAGTTGCATAACATTTGCAGACTAACAACCATTTGGTTTGCATTTTGTTCTTTTGTTTTTCTTTTGGTTGTGTTTTTGTGTTTTCAGTTGCATTTCAGGATGAGCAAGAGCAATATTCTTAATGGCTAGAACAGGGCAGTTTCCTTCAACTTTACCTTTTATTTACATTTTAAGCCTTGAGTCCACATTGAGGACAATGTGTGGAGTAAGTGTGGGGAGGGGAACGTGACCATTTTTGCTGAATTTTAATTTTATTGCTAAAACTGCTAATTTTGCTGGAATTTATGCTTCAATTATGGATATATGCTGCTGCCATGTGCATATTTGGTCTTTTGTCATATGCATCACATGCATATGCATCCGGGGGAAAGGGGTTCACAGAAACTTGACCATTTTTGACTGTTTTGTAAAAATGCTCCTAGAGTTTTTGTTTACCACTTATCCCATGAATATTTTGAGTAAAATTTTTTATTTTTGAGCTGAATTTGGGATTACTCTGGGACTTGATTGTGTCTTTAAACATGATTTAGAACTCATAGGATATTTAGAGAGGAGAACTTTGCTTTTGAAACTTGGTCTGACTGTTGTGAGAACCCTAGACGATAAGACTTAGGACTTAGCGAGCGGAAACCATAACTTGAAATTGACCGTCATTGCACTCATGAATCTTGGTTTAAATTGTCTACACTTTGAATTCTCAAATCGGGTTTTCAAAACTTATCCTCTTTTGATAAGTGTTTGTGAGAGCAATTGTCGAAGCAAAAGTTTAGGATAGCTTCCGAACACTAGAACTTTCTTCTACGTTCCCTTGAGGCGAAATCCTAGGTGAGTCTCGACTTTGGAAATGATCTAGGCATTCTTTGGCCGATTCATTAATCCCTTTTACGTTTTCCCACCTTGACGTCACCGTTCTTTTTACCCCTTCTAGCCTACGAAGCATGCTAAATGCGTGCTTCCAAATTCTTTTCATAACCCCCAATATAACCATATAACCCAAAAAGCTCTTTGCCTACCACCTTTGAACAAAGAAATATTCTTTTTAATCGTTGTTGAGCATGCATGTTTAAGTTTCAAGTTTTGGTGCGAATGCATTTTTGTTTTGTGTTTATGTTTGTGTTTTGGAATAAATAGTCATAGCGACTTATATGTAATTAGTCGTTGTGATGTCGAAAAAAAAAATTCCAGAAAAAAAAAAAGGGAAAGAAAATCAGAAAAGAAATAGAAAAAAAGAAAAAAAAAAGAAAGGAAGAGAGAATAAATAAACAGCAGCCAAAATCTAAACATTAAAGTTAATAACATGCATTGCTCTTTGAACCTAATGTGAAAGACTTATTTTCTTGTTATTCTCTAGCCTTACATTATCCTTTTCTTTTGTAACCATTACCCTAGCCTAACCCATACATAAGACCTAATGATACTTAGTTGAGACTTGTCCTACATTAGTGGAGAGGGAACCGCAAGGAGAGATTATGGTTGTTCATTATCTTGTTTTCTTGAAGCTATGAAAATGTATTTTATATGCTTTGATTATTGCTCGATAAAACATTTGTTGATTCAAGAGACTTGTCCTACATTAGTGGAGAGGAACTAATAAAATAAATTAGATATAATTAACTGAAGTTAAATTTCCTAGTAGCTTTTATCTCTTGAATTTTCTCCACAACTACTTGTTTGATCTCTTTTAAGTTTAATCTTTTATTTTTATTTCTTTTATTTTAATTCCTTAAATAAATTCTCTTAATTGGTTGTTTAAATAATAGTAGGTTAAAATACTTTCGGTGCTTGATATATAATTCTCGGGGGAACAATATCTTTTTTTTATCATCAAAAATAATTTTTATTAAATTATATTGTCCAGGAAAAATTTATTTTATCCAAATACTATCCCAAGTCATTAGGCCTCTCATTTACACGCAACCTAACCTAGATAACTTAAGTAAAAAAAATCTAGTCAAAATATCATATACACCAAACCGGAATACATCAGAAACTATCCAAAACTCTTAACACAGCTAAAAACTAAATTGTCATAATAATATAAAAAAAAAAAAGAAAAAATACAAAACTAGATGTAGGTATAGCCCACCTACTGCAAATTGTTTTCACAACCAATCATATTAAGAAATTGCAGTCCAAAAGATTTACATATTGTTCTTTTCATCATTATAACCAAACAAGAAAATATTAATGAATTTCAACTCCCTTTTTAGTCAATGAATCTACAAAATGATTCTGTTTTCTACATATATGTAAGAATTGAACAGAACATAAAGATCCAGATATGCTATCAAATCTATTAAATAATAATCTCCACCTCCAAGATATTTTTTTTTAATTTAAAACCCAAGACACAATAGATTTTGAATCAGATTCAATAATTCATGGTGAGAGTTTGAACTGAGATTGAGAAAATAATTCTATAGCCCTGAAAATTGCTCTTAGTCCAGCTTCATTAGAATCAATAATACTAGCTGATTGAAAAAATAGACTCTTTACTTTACCTTTATTGTTCCGTAGCACACCTTACCACACTTTTATTGTTACGATTTTGTGCACTTACGAATTTGCCTGTCAACCTTCGCACTCCAGTTATTAGTTTTATAAATAACACTCGTACTCTCCAAGTTAAATTCTAATGGATAAGAAAGATATTTCTCATTTTCATTTAGGGATCAATCATAATTCTGAAAACTGAAGCGAATTGGCCGATTCAATCGGTTAACCAAGAATCAGATTGTGGTCCGGTCTGAATTGGATAGTGAAATCGGGAGGTTAAAATATCAGAGAGAACCATTGAGAACTAGACAAAAACCAGTGAACCGGACTATCATTTTATTATGGTTCGATTCAAAAAAAAATTAAAAAAAAAAAAGAGAAAATATGAGGAACTTAGATATAATTGCAAAAAGCTTGCTTAATTATGGATCGGAAGTCTTTAGTCAGACTTTTAAGAATCCGATTTAGTGAACGTCTACATCCACCGATTCAGTGACCAATTAATCTGGTTCTCAGAACATTGGAATTAACCATGTTATAAATTATTTTTATTAAAAATGTAAATGATTATGTTTTTCTTTAAATTCAACTCTTTTATTACTTTGTTTTGTATTTTAAAGAGTTATGATTTAGGAATTTTGCATATTCAAAAATTTCCTTGTATGTCAAATTTCTTTTATTTCTTCTTGAAAATATCTCTATTCTTATTTAAACATTTCAAATTTAAATTTTTTCATTAATTTAAACTATGCTTTGATTTGAGAAGTTCGAGCTCCCTAAGCCATTATAAGTCTAGCGAAGGGATACGTTTACCATGTAACATCATTATATTCCGACCTATTTAGCCCCCCAATAAATAAATAAAAATATTTCAATTACTTAGGTTGATGTTGTATTATTGTGAAAATTATTTATTTATTAGAAAATAAATGTTATCAAGGCATCTATAAAAATAAACTATTCATCATTGAAAGTAAATTGTTTTCGTAGCAAAGAAACAAAATATTGAACTTAAAATACCTATCAGGCTCAAACTAGCAACTCAAAGGTGCATAGCAATTTCAAATCGTAGCTACATGTTAGCTTTCTAGGCAAAGTTTTATTACTACTAATTCAACAAAATATATATATATATATATAATACTTCATTCTAAAATTATATATATATATATATATATTCATTCTAAAATTTATTAAATACATGTTTTTTTTTTTTCATATATATGACAAATGAAAAGAAGGTTTACAAATTACATATAGCTAGAGTACAATTAATTAACACAACTAATTCATCATGCAAGATTTCCATATCATGCCTTTATTTTCCATTACAATATTTATAATTCAATTGCCAAACCTTTACCTTCTTTTGACATTTACATGTAGAATTAATTAATTAACCCGTTCAAATCGGAAAGGAAATGCAGGACCATCCAATACCAACAATCTCTTACCATTCTCAATAAAAATACCAACAGACCCACATCTTGGCTTGCAATTAGGGCAAGATTCAGTTGGGCAATATACAAAATTATAATCACCTCTTCCATTATTTTCAATCTTAAAATAATCTGGCCGTCCTGCAGTCAAAATAAATCGTCTTCCGATTTCTCCAACTCTCCAAGCAGTGGATTGAATACAAATAGTAAATGCTTGAAATGTAACGTTCAAGTCCGTAGACTCTTTGATCATTGTCTCTCCGTCTGCGTAGGGCTTGAATTTAACTGGAAGACGCTCCGTTATTTTGACAGTGATCGGATCTTGACCAACGTACAATGGGCATGAGTTGTTGCGATCAATTAGGGTTAAAGCACCAGCAACACCGGTAATTCCAGGCAATATGTAGTATTCCACGTCAGTTTGGACATGCTGCCCGGTGGTGTCTAGCACCTCAGGCTGGGCGATTGTGCCTATAGCCATAGAAATCAGCCATATGGTGAAGAAATCAATTGGAACTGATTTCATAGTGGTTGAATGCTAAGAAACAAGAATTCTGAATATTAAATTTTGTTATAAGTTGCTATTTTCATTTGTTGCATAGGCTTGGTATTTATACAAGTACCAAATGTATGTGAACGTTCTAATTAATGAGGATTTTTCTATTTGTCATTATCTAATTGATGATTGCTTGTGCCATAAGTAATTAATTGTCCTAATTTTTGTAACCCTTGACGATTAAAACTCGTATTGTAGAAATTTGAAAAAAAAAAAAAAAAAAAGCTGGAATACATGTATGAGAACAAGTTTTCATTTAGTTTTTATTAGAATTTTTAATAGTTTTAATATAAATTATGAAGTTTATATTCATATTTTATTTTAATTATTGATTTTTGTTTCTTAACAATCTTGAGCTCCTTTTTAGAGGTTTTTTAAGAAATTTTATTAGGAAATTACTAAATAACTCAATAAGAAGAATGGGTTAAAAATAAAGAAAAACATGTTAAATTCATGAAA